AAGGGCCGGTCTGTCCTCTGAGCTGTGAAGGGCAACGTTAGCCCCTGGGTTCCTTTTAGCCTGCTCGGTTCCGAGAGACGCAATCCTGCGAATGTGGGGCTACATTACTGTTAACCGATATGTATAATTTCTGGATTTCTGAGAGGCTTTGGCGGCATCTGCCGGAACACCCTCGAGCAACACCATATCACGCCGACAGCGCGCACTCCCGATCAGCCAAGTAAGAATAATTATACAATATATAAAACAAGGAGTAACTTTTCTCCAAACGTTGTTCAACTCTTCATGACCCCAACACCCCTTGGAATGCACTACTTTAACAGCACATACCGCAGCTAAAATTAGCTCCACATATAATCACACCCATTTCAGTCTTCAACCTTGAGTACCCAAAGGCTTTAAGAATTTGGATGCATTTTCGACTAAAAAAACCAAGCCGCCTTCTATCATACCTAGAGCTGCCAACACGAGAATAGCCAACCCCCCACTCCCTCGTTACCCAGAGCCCGGCTCACGCTTCTTCCTCTCCAGAACTTCCTTCTGCCGCTCAACAAACCCCATCAATTCCTCTCTTTCTCCAATCAAGCTTTCCTTGGTCGCCTCAAGTTTATCAGCAACCTCCTTATATGGTGGCTGCTCGTTGTAGAGATTGCACTCCATAGGCTGAACTCTAAGAAAGACTACGAGATTCTCGAGTTCGAGGATGCGGTCGTTGAGACGATCAATCTCGTGGCTCGCACGAGCTAAGTCATGTTCGTGGCCAGGCATTTTTGTAGCGGGTGGGTTGCTGCTGATGCCCGAGGGGTAGTCTTGAATATTTTGGTGGACTATTTGACTATTGGAGCCTTTTGAAGTGTTAAGGTTGTATACCGCGAGTATCTCTGAGTTGTAGGGAGTGGTTAAGACAGATTGTGGGAGGTTGGAGCACTTTATAGAGGGTTTGGGGTGTTGGGGGATTAGTATTGTATGGCTAACTTCCGATCTAATAGTAATGAGGAGCGTAGGATAGAATCTCATCCATAGAATATATTATCGCGGTACCGCTCTAGGTCCTACTGGTATGGGAGAGCCCGGAAATTCTGCGGTGGGTACTTGGGGGTTCTTTGGTACGTTCTAGAGCGGGGATGGGAATCATAGAATCTCACCCCCTATGTCTTATGATACCAAGCCGATGTTGTTTTATGTTGCAATCTTCCCGATGCGAGGGGTTATTTGTGGGTCGATCGCAACATTAGGGAAGCTCTGGTGACATTGAGTGGGGTGTTACTATGCACCGTTACTGCTTCTTCAGTCATGTCTCCTAACTCTCTTTTATCGCAGCTCCGGTATCGTGGGACAAGAGCTGTGAATTCCCTCCTCTGAACCTACACAAAACGAATGAGTTTATTGGAATGAATCAAACCGAAAGGCTCAGCCCCGGTAAGTATATGCCCGTTAAGGAGTTCTCCGCAGTCCTCTTTTGTGCCGCTGAAAATGCAATCTATGTTTAGGGAATAGGGTTGATGAGGCGAAAGTACGGAGACGTTTAGCAAGCCAACTACAAATCATGATCTGAAAACACGATTTGGCTTGGGGTTTGAAAGTGCGATTGGAACCAGATATATTTAGGGTTTAAAAGGATATTAAATATCTAGTATGGAATAAGTTTTTCGTATTTTCTGTAAAGTTAAAAGAAATAACATACACTAAAAGAGATAGATAGAAAGGAGGGTAATCATGTAAGCGAATCGAAACAAAACAGAAATCAAAATCAAATCAGACGGTGTTTGGCAGGATATGATTTCAAATCAAAATTTGGGAAAGACATGATCTTAGGGTTTAAAAACGTGATCGGAAACCACAAAATCGCGATTTAAAATCATAATCACGTTTGCCAAACACCCCCCAAGGGTGACGAGGGTCCGAAGGAAAACAGCTCAGAACTACATAAAATGGGATCACCCAGGGCCGGCCTTACGCCATGCATCCTCGCAGCATCTACTAATTACTGGATAGACTCCCTTAGACCAGCGGTGGTATTATGTCTGAATGTTCTACTGTTTGTTGGTGTTGGCTAGCTCAAACTCTTGGAATTCATAACTACTTCTGATCAGTGCTTTCCAACTTTCTGATGGTACAGGCAAACTTCTAGAGCCCTCGGGCACAATCTAGACTCACCTGTATACTATTTTACGAACTCCCCCATAATTCACATCCTCATCGATGGTTTCTTTTTCTTTTTCTCTTTCCTTGAGCTTCCCTTCCCGAGGGGTTGATCCTCTCACTTCCCCATAATCCATTCACACTAAACTACAGAGGAGAAAATAACAGGAGTGCACAATAAATCCTTTCAAAGCAAACACGGATCATGCTTCGACTAATGGTACCTCACTCGGTACATGCACCCTCAACCTTGCAGTAGAAATGCCCCTCTGTGGAGCCCATCCCCCGAACCCTACCCTGGCGGAGAACCCGACTCAAGGAGAAGACACCACCTGCTCAAGTTGGCTTAATATATGGGACGGGGCGTATCTCTGAGCTTCTCCTAGAAATACTCGAGTATACTCCATGGCGCTATACCTATGACTATTTTACTATGACCTCGGTTTCACCCCCTCCCGGCTTCGTAAAGATGGAAAGTTTGGGTGGCCTAGGTAGTAGCCCATCCTCTGCTTTCCGGGTAGACTTGAATCCTATCCAAAGCGACCGCGAGCCGACCTGGGCGGACGCCCTTGCGCGGTGGCACGACCCCTACTCCGAAGTGACAAATGAAAGGCGAGCACTAGTAGCCCAATGAAGGTTGGGGGATAGAATCGCACCGCATTGACCTTTGTCTAGCTGCATACACGCAGTGCCCCACCGTATGGGAGATAAAGGTCAAAAATGCTATGGAATGAACTCTAGTAGTGTTATATTTGTGTGGTAGTCTAGCATGCATACGGTACCCAACCCGCAACATCCCACCCCCGAACCGGCAGACCACCCTATGGCATTCTACTTCAATATTATTCAGATCGTGGCTGAAAAGGTGGCGCCAATTGGATTCAATGGATGGAGGGTCATGTGTTGTGTGCCAAGGTTTTGTGATGCTTGACTGCTTTCGCGAGGGCACAAACCCTAGTACGCACCGCTCAAATATCATGATACCACCAACAAATTCGCCATGCCCCTATCACAACCAACAACCACAACCAGATTCAGCGCAACAACTGAGTGAGTGACAACCGACAAGTTCAGCCATGCCTGTGCGTATGCCCCGTTTTTTATCGTCTCCACCTTAATTCGGTAAACCGACAATCATACTGACCTTCTTTTTCGCAAAAATAGAGCCAGAAATCTTTCCGTACCAAGCAAAAGCTTGCCAAAGCTCAGAAGCAAAACCGCCCGATTCCCCAGTGGATTCGTCTCCGAACCGGAAACACCATCCGGTAATTGCCACTTCCCGCCCGCCCACTTCCGCCCATTTTACGGTTGTTTGCAGGTTTCGCTAACTTGGTTTATCTCCCCCACGCCGCAGATACAACGCGAAGAGGAGACATTGGCGTAAGACTAGAATCGGAATCTAAACCATCGATTTCGAATTTTTCCCTCCTCTTTCTCCTTTCCTCTTCGGTTTCCTTTGAACGATCCCATCCTTTGGTTGAGGGATGGTGGTGTAACGAAAATATGTTTTTCTCTTTCGGCGGCTGGACTTATGGGTAGAAATGGCAGGCGGCAATTGGGGTTTGTAAGAAATTTCGACTCGTCGGTGCTGGGGAGGATTGGATTTCTTAAGGCGGTACCCGGAAGTATTTGAGGTCCTGTTACAAAAAGTCTTTTCGCGCGGCGGGAATAAACGTTCGTTTCTCCAAGGATTTGCTCATGTTGGTGATCCGGCAGAAAAGGTGATCTATCCGGGGCTGGCGGACTTTTCAGTCATGGGATGTTTTCAAATGGTGCTAAATGGGGACTCCTGTTTAGGAGTTGAGCTCTGGAAAAGGATTTCGTTTTCTTGTGATTTCAGCCTGGAACTATTATTCCCATGCTCTTGAATGATGATCCCCCATCCCGGTACTCGTATGATATGTTTGGGGTGCGCTGGAAAACCTCCTTGCAGCGGGACTAGGGCGAAAGCACCTAGCTACTAAATCTTAGCTTCCTCCCGGTGCCTTGGCTGTTACCGTACCTTAATCAATTTTCGTAGCCCAGGGTGTATCATCTATCTACTGAGAACCTTGGCCATGCCACTACCGTAGGCCTTTATGAGGGCATTAGCGCTTTGAATAAGCATTTCAAGATAATTCGGGTCTTAGGTATTTCCAGGGGAGTTCACACACGAGACGAAGCACTAGCTCTCGCCACTTATCTCACCTGATTCCCGCTAGAGATCTGCGATGTCGTAGAATGAGATGATGTGGAACTGATGAAAGGATTCCAAGTCTCCCAACTTCCAATAAGGTGTATGTGAACATTCATGAAATTGTAAGCAACAATTCTCCGTGGCGCAATTGGTTAGCGCGTTCGACTGTTAATCGAGAGGTTGGAAGTTCAAGCCTTCCCGGGGAAGTACTTTTTTGCTTGTTATTGAACTTGGGGGGGAAGGACACTCAAACTTTAGCCCAACAAGGAAATTATACTCCCGGAGCAGTTGCAGGCCTAAGATACTTGTATCAACGGAATAAGAGAATTTACCCGAGATCACGGCTTGGTTTTTGGAATCTTAGTTGCTCAGGAGTCCGTCTCTCCGATCTCTAGCGCTTCTTGAGCCTCGCTGTCAGGGTCCAGGTTTCAATTGTTTTTAGCTGAATCGTCCCCGGGTGTTACGGTTTTAATCTCACATGTACGAGTACGAGTACGAGTACCGTACCGGCACTTGTATCAAAGTAAGCGTCCCCTTTTTCACATGGAGCAAAAATGGCCCAACAGCCTTGCGCAAGCGGAAGAGCCTCAAACCGCGGGGTGTTAAATTCGGCAGGGTTACCCCACCACCGCCCTCCATTTTCACCTCCACTCAAAAACCTTGCCTACACGAATATTCTTTCAGGATGCACATGCGCGACCCCGACGCAGCCCCTACGGGCGCGTACCCCGAGCCGTGGAGCTCGAAGCCCTTGTGTGAGCAGGCCGGATCAGCAATCTCGAATGGAGAATATGTTCACGCTCAAAAACTTTACACCGAAGTCCTGAAGCTCGAGCCCCACAGTATTCCTGCCTATCTAGAGCGATCACTGGTTCATTTGAAGCTTGAATTTCCAGACCTGGCGACGGGAGACGCTTACAGGGCTTTACTACTTGTTGATATGGTCAGAGAGGGCGAGGAGGAGATTACTCCAGATATTGGTTGGGAATTGCTCCGTTACCCTTCCGACGACCTTGCTAAATGGTGCCATTCGCAGCGGAAATGGAAGCGAAAGCTTTCTCCTACCTCAGCATAGCTCTCCGAGAAATTGGTTGCCATGAAGACTCCAGACGCTACAAAGAAACTGGAGCCAAGCGATATCCTGAATTCAATTTCGAGATCCCGGGGTAGGTGACCACCCCATACATTTCCTCAAGTGGATCCCCTCATCCAGGCCCGGGCGAAGGACTAATAACAGAAAGCTACACCCCCCGCAACGAGTTGATCCTCCGTGAGGGAGAATGGAGGAGAGAGGTTTACCCCTGGAACAACATGGAGCCGGACCGCTTCTCAGACGAAACATTGGGAGTGCTCAACGCTGCGATGGCCAAGTGCTCGGCAAAAGCCGAGCTAAAAGTCGTTGACTTGCCCATCTTGCAGAGAGATCTGTCGTTTGCCGGTGATGGGGATAGATCCTCGGATAAGCATCTGGGGGTTTATGCCAAGGAGGATATATTCCTAGGCGAGACCTTCTTCAGCGAGGCATCCCCGCTGACAGTCGTTGCTGATCCTGAGAATTCTAGCTTGTGTGAGTACTGCGGCGGTAATTTGCCGGATCGGTACAGAGTCTGCGATGACTGCTGGGAGGGGGACGAGGACAGCGGTGTTATGTGGTGCTCGAAGGAGTGCAAGCAGCAGGCGTTCAAAAGGTGATTAGAGATATTCCGCAGACAAGAAAGGGGGGTTTGGCATTCCCAATTCTGATTTTCCGGGCGAAATAGTTATCATCCGGCACTCTGCGGGAGAGACTTTACGTGGCTGTATCGCGATATCAACGCTACGGCAAGCACTAATTCTGCATACTCATTGCTTCTACTAAAGACAATCGCTATGGCCCTCACACTCGATGTCCACCCCCTTGCTCTGTCCGATGTGAAATACCTTTACGGGGTCTCCCGCCCGCCACTTAAACACATTCCTGCCATTGCCCTACCGTTCAACTTCACCCACCAGGTCCTCCAGCCCATACAGATGCTCCAGGAAATGGACGTGGACATATTCGACCCAAAGTACCTTGATTTCTTCGACCTGTGGGTTATGCAGACTGCCAGGGCAAAGTTTATATCGGTTGCTAGTGCGCGGATCAGTGCGAAGACCAGGAGAACTGAAATTGCAGCTGTATACACCACCCTTCCCCCCCGCCACTGCTAGGTCATTGTGCCGGTAGCTGACTATAAACACTAGGTCCATACTCTCTACTCTATGTTCAACCACTCCTGCGAGCCAACCGTGACCTGGGAATGCGAGAACGAGGTCAAGTTTACCGGCTTCAGTCGGTATAAAAAACGTTCTGAATCTGCGACCCCAGTTGTAGCAGTGAAGAAGGGAGATGAGTGCTGGACCCATTACTGTGACGTGAGGATGGAGTATAAAGATCGTCAGCGGGATGCGTTCGGTAGCCTTGGTGGTAAATGCGTGTGTAGGAGATGTGTAGAGGAGGAGGCGGAGGGTAAAAACATGAATGGTGTTCCAGATGAAGAGTAGGGGCCCCTTTTTTGGTTTGATAGAAGGCCTGCTACCTGCCCTTGGTCGTGTCATATTACGAGAATTTGGCGATTGTGGATTGCGCATATGGTATCACTCGGAAATGCTATATTTGTCATTTTAACATTGTTGATCTATGAGCCAAAGGGTTTGGTATCATACACTACTAGTAGCATCTAGAGGAAGGAATGACAACCGAGCGCAGTATTTTAAAAACTGTCAAGTATAAAGTAACCACCTGGCTTACTCGGAGCGCAGTTGCTAAGTTGAACATAATTCGGTGAATATCCACACCCCCACCTTTTCCACTTATTGATACCCACACCCGCGCCTGAAGTGGCCCGTGCAATCGCCTGTAAAATCGATGCCGCACCTTTGACAAATAAACTACATTCCGAATCAATCTTTGGAGTGAGAGCCATCCTAGTGACGCGCAGCATCCGTCCCTCCTCACAAATGCGAGCCCCAAGAAAGAACAGGCCCCAGATCAGAGCGAAAATTTCCAAGGAAAAAGCCAAGTAACTATCATATTTTCTTTCTCCTCCAAAGGGATATTGCAATGTGCACGACCAGACAGACGGTAAACCCCGGAACGTGTCTCAACAATAAGTATATCCTTATTTACAACCAGTGGCCCTTGTTGAAGAAGGGCGAACTTGAGCCCCCAGAGCTAATATCTGCTTTTCAAAAAAACTTGAATCGGTATGAAATTTTATCTTTCGCACTTTAAATTTAGGTGAGGTGCTTCGTTCTGCTTCGGGCTTGTACTAGGGTGGCAAAATTGGAGCAGCCCGAGGTCCCAGTATTTGGGTATCATAACTTTGGTAGTGTTTGGGGGATTATGTTTCCCTTACCAATGTATGGCCAGTGGGGGGTTTTCCTCCCGAGAATATGAAGGCATCATTTTGGTTTGGGCGTTTGGGAAGAACTGGGACCCACGGGTGGGCATATGATGGGTTCTCTAAACACTATGCAAAGGTGGCTACGGGACCGTGGCAAGTGGGATTTCTCACAAATGTCTTTGTAGAGATGTAGATAATGATGCTACGGTCAAATCCAATCCTATATTATCTTTGTCGCCCTTAACGTTATAAAGTTCAAGTGCATGGATGCTGAAGAAAATTTTCCCAGCCCGAACAACGTTGGAGACAAAAAGGATTATGTCCTCAGCGAGGGTCGAACTCGCGACCTTCGGATCTCCCACTCTGGAAGTGGATCACACCTAGAAGATATGAGACCGACGCTTTAGCCCACTAAACCATGAGGACATTGATGACATAATATTCATCTTTTTGTGCAGTCGAATCATCTCCGCATGGCCACCTGCTCATAATACTGAGTGCGGGACTCCTCTTTACACTTGCAATGCTAGAATATAGAGAAAATCTAATGAGGGAGTGTGACGATTTGGTTGGTAAAGTCCTATTTACTTTTTTTTGCTGTGATATCAACGCTTACACCTTGCGCTATCTCTAGGCTGAGCTAAGTGAACGCTAGTTTTTCTCTTCGGACACTACCGCTTCCTGGTGACACGGT